AGAAATTAAATAAACTTCATGATTTTTGCAATGATTGGTGCTTAAATATAAATACTAAGAAAACTAAAGTGTTGATATTCAACAAGGCGGGCAGACATATCTCTCAGAAATTTATTTTCAACAAAAATGAGCTGGAGTGTGTATCTAATTATAAATATTTGGGTATCCAATTTAATGCATCATGTTCTTTTTCATATGCTCAGAATGATTTATACCAAAGAGCCTTAAAAGCGTACTTCAAATTATGTAATGATTTTTTAGTGCATAATCCTACTGTTAAAAATGCAATTCATGTTTTTGACCATACAATAAAGCCTATACTTTTATACGGGTGTGAAATTTGGGGATATTTTAATCCCTTTACTGCACGTTTAAAAAAAGAAAACATATCGGTGGATACAATTTACTCAAGGATACTTTGTGAAAAACTTCATATTAAATTTTGCAAATATATTTTAGGTGTTAATAGAAAAAGTACAAACTTTGCAGTTTTGTCTGAATTAGGCCGTTTTCCACTGCACTATGATATAGTCAAACATGTTTTAGAATATTGGCATCGTTTAGAAAATATTGGCTCATCATTTCCCTTGTTAAAAGCTGCATATAATTGTTCTAAAAAGCTATTTGAAACAAAAAAGCCCTCTTGGTATGGATCAATTAATTTTTTAAGGGAAAAAATGTCAGGCATAGAAAAGCATATTCTTGAAAAATATTCAACATTTAAATTACACTGTGGTCAGATTGTTAAGGGATACTATACTACATTGTGGAAAAAACAGCTAGATATACATAAAGATGGTAAACTACGAACTTATGTAACATTCAAGTGCAACTTCGGTTTTGAAAATTATTTGTCAATAATGCGACATTTTGAGCAAAGGAAATGTATAACTAGATTAAGAATATCTGCTCACAAATTGCAAATTGAATCTGGTAGATACCAGGGTACTCTTCGACAAAACAGAATTTGTCTCAGGTGCACCTCTGGTGAGGTTGAGGATGAAGTTCATTTTTTTATTTAAATGTGACACTCATTTATTAAAAAGAGAGGAATTGATGCAAAGTATATTAAAATCATGTCCAAACTTTCAAAATTTAAATATTAATAACAAATTAATTTGGATAATGAATAATGAGGATCCCAATGTACTATTTGCATTTTATAAATATATAGAAGATACTAAGAATCGAAGGACAACATAATCTGCAATAACTAATTTCAATACAACTCTTTAATATGAATTTGGATACCCTGTTAAGCCTGCACAGATCATAAGAAGAATTTCAAATTCTATGGCACCGTCCCTTGATGATCTTTGCTGGCTGGACACAGAATCTATAATCTTAAAAATATGTTTTTAAAATATATTTTAAATAATTTAGGAGTTTGACTCATCTGCATTAAGTACAAGTATAGGGACTTCCCTTTAAGCACCGACTCTTGGTGCTTTTTGCAGATAAGTCATATTAAATATCCTTTATTAAATATACTAACTTGTTATTTGCAGTATACCTCATAGTCAAATGTGCAAGTGCTTAAATTGTTTTTTTTTTTTTTATTGAGATTTCTCCGCACAAACTACTAATGCCTCTTGTTTGTCTTTCAAAGTGAAAATACACTTACCGGGTGCACTTGAGTCAATGTCAACATAGTATTCATTGAATAATAATACATTGCTACTATTTTGTTGAGTGTATTTTCTGTAGTATATTATTCTATTTTATTGTTTTTATAACACAGGTTACATATCTATTGTCTGTGTATTGCATATGTTATTGTTTATAATAATATTGTTTGTGTGCTATATGCCCTTTTGGGGCCCTAATTTGGTAAATAAAAATATTCTATTCTATTTTATACTTCCTATAACATTTATAGTAAGACCCTTTTATAATTGGGTCCCAGGGGAATTTTGATAACAGCTCACCTCTAGAAAAAAGGCTTTTACGTTTTTGTACCAGGTCTTTGTCAAACCATTTTTTGTTTTTGTGTTTACGTACAACTTTTTTTGGTTTTACGGAATATTAAACATTTACTGGCAGCATTATCTATTAATAGTATTATATCAAAACATTCATTAGCTGCCTTTTCAATATAGTCCTCTTTGTGTCTAAAATGTTTTTAATACTGTTTCTAATAATTGGCTGGCATATAGTATCTTGAAGTTTTTGTGTAGAGGTTTCTGACCTTATATATTTTCCTGTAAATAAAATAGTATTGTCTTGCTCCTTAGCTTTATGTGAGTAAATAGCTAACAGGCTAAATGTCAGTTTACAGCGACAGTCTGACAGAGTTGATAAAAATCAGCAACATGAAAAAATAAAGTATCTTCAATCAAGTCTTCCGACATGATAATATAGTCAACCACACTTCTACCTACTGCTTTTATACAAGTGTATTTACCATAAGAATCGCCCCACATTCTCCCATTTAAAATACGTAATTTGGACGCAATACACGTCCAGAAGCTGTTTACCTCTTGAATCTACTTTCATATCATAACTACATCTCTTTTCCACAACTATAATTATCATATATTGGTATATGTGTATCATTATAATAATTAACATAATTTATTATAAAATCTGGCTCTGACCCTGTCCTTGCATTTAAGTCCCCACACAATATAATACTACCTTGATGACTAAAATTTATAATATCTTTTTCTATGTTTTCTAGTGTGTCATCTTCTGATTGATCGGCATTAAATAAAGAAGCTGGTATAATATATGCCAAACATAGGAATTATGTTCTTGTTTATATCCTGTCAGAATGGGGACAGGGACATAAGATACAATGCCTAGTGCAGGGAAGGTTGCACGCTCACTGCTCTCTACATTTGCTTACTGTCGAGTTACAATGACGGCGGAAAAATTGTTGACTGACAAATAAAGTGACAACAGATGAAACCAAGCACTTTCGTTGCGTCTTGCAAGGCAAAGTTTCTGCCCCTACCCAATGTAGGGGGTCTACATCACTTCACAAAGCTTCTTTATTTGATACTTTTAATTTGTCATATTTGTTACTGAACGGTAAGCAAAATCATTCCTACATCTGAGACGTTTGAAAAATATAATGTCGAATAACTACGACGACAAAAGAATGTGCTTGGCAATATCGTCAGAATACTGCGACATCGGATGATGCTATATATATATGTTCTTTAATGCTGTAGTTAAGTTTCTGCGTAACAAAAATAAACTCAGTAAGTTTTCTCGTTTGAATTGTTTTACATTTGTCATTTCGGACCTTTTATAGCTGACTATGCGGTATAGGTTTTACTCATTGTTGAAAGTCGTACGGTGACATATATAGTCATTTGGTGGAGAGTTGTCTCATTGGCATTATACCAAAACCACAACTTCTTATTTTTAAATCATAGATACCAGATTTAAAATTGTGTACGCTAGACAGAAGACTCATCAGTGACTCTCGATTCAAAAAAGTTAAAAAGTCAAAGTAAAGTACGAAGATGAAGACCATTGAGGACCCAAAACTCCGAAAGGTTTTGCCAAATACTGCTAAGGTAATCTATTCCTGGCGCAGAAAATCTTTAGTATTTCGAAAAATATATAGGCATTATTAACTCTAGTTTGTAGAACTTTAATGTATTACTGTCAATCGTTAAATAAAACTTATTTAGCATCATTCGTTTTGTAAAATATTTTGCTTTCAAAATATTCCATTGATTTTTTGGTTTTTGTTCATATCCTCTTTGAGTTATAGTATATGGGCTGGCCTCCGACTTGCGTACCAAATGAGACGCTTTGAGATTCAGACGACAAGTTGACGAAAATGTAACCATGTTTGCACTAACTATTGAATACTGAAATACTATTCGGAATGTCAAGGTTGACCTCCCACTTTTATAACGCCTTGAGTAAAAGTCAGAAAGCATAACTTCGATAAAAAAGGAGCGGGTGATACTAAAGGGGCATTCAAAACTCACCAGATTAAGAGAAACTAGCAACGCCATGACAAAAAAAAATAAACAGCTGCGCCATGAGCGCATGATACGCCCGTCGTCTCGTGGGTGAATTTTTATGCAATAATCATAAATAGTTTCTGACATACGGCGCGACATGCGAAACCCCCCTTTTTTTTTACAAAAAACTCAATATCTCTAAAATAAAATTTTGAATCAAAACCAAAAAGTATACAGATCTTTAGATTAATATAACTAAGAAGTGTGTAAAATTTTAAGCAATAATCATAAATCGTTTGTGGGATACGGCGCGACATGTGAAAAACCCCTCCCCCCTTTTTTTTTACAAAATACTCAATAACTCAAAAATAAAATTTTGAATCATCACCAAAAAGTAAACAGATCTTAAGATTGATATAACTAAGAAGTGTGTAAAGTTTTAAGCAATAATCATAAATTATTTTTGAGAAACAGCGCGACATGTGAAAAAAAAAACACACACCTGTTTTAGTTACTAAGTCCCGTAACTCAAAAAGTTTTAATCTTTTTTTCACCAAAAAGTATACAGATCGTTTGACCATCATAAGAAACAACTATATTAAGTTTCATGAAATTTGGATAAGTCGGGCTCAAGTTACAGTGCGACATGTTTACGCCGGACAGACAGACGGACAGACGACATTTGTATACCATAATACGTCCCGTCGGGCGTATAAAAACAACACCGAAACCAATGAATAGAAAAACAAGTCCATATCAGTTGCTCCAGATAACACAACTTTCGATCCGTTAATGACATCCTCGTAAATTTTAAAGTGGTTTGACCTATTGATTGTAATGTATAGCTAATTAAAAGGAGGGCGTGATGGATTGGACAAGATTTGCACAATAATCTTATTTACAGACTTACGTGGGCTTTTTATAGTGGGCAAGGAGAACGACAGTGTTTCCGATTTGATGTTCAATTCAGCCCGAACGCATACCATGCTGTATTACAAAATTAATGCAAGTTTTTATTTTAACTTCTCCAAACATCTCATTTTAATGGCATTCACGTGAAATAAGACACACAAATTCGTTAATAAAATATTATTGTCAGGATCGATGTTTTAAAAATGCAAAAAAATAAATAACTTGCTTGCAACTGTCAATATTAGTCATAAGGGACAACAATATGTACGGAATGACAAACCCATTAATAAAATCTGAATTCACGATGTATTATTGTGACATGTGTCTTCGGTCACACAATTAATCTATGATGATGTGCATACATGATATAATAGTGCATATGATATATAGTACATATTTGAAGATGAGGAACTAACACGTAGGCTTCTCTTGTCTGTTTGGACTTGCTCTGGTTCGAAAAGTTCATAGTTCGAAAACCAGATCGGATCACTTTATCAATTTTATTTATTTATGATAAGTGATAATAATCTTAGTCACTGTATGCCAAGATCGAACTATCAAACTAATAGTATATTTATAACTTTACAACTGTATTTGACATTCAATCACATATTTGTTTTTTCTTCTATGTTGAAATTGAGTACTAGTAAATTATTAAATAGAAAAACTAGCATCTTATATAAAAATACCATTTTACATTACATTATTCTTTTAAATTCGTATTCGCTTACTCAATTAATAACAAAAACACTAATTTATATGTCTTTTTGTCCTTTACCATAATATTTTTCTTTCACATTTTCAAAGTCTGGTAGGACTTTGTATTCGAAATATTTGCGGACATACTTGACCATATTTACCATGTAATGGCCATATTTTTCAGGAACATGTTCTGGACCACCTTTTATGTACTGTGACATGTAATTAACACCAATATCACTTTCATATGCAGGTTCAAGGAAGAAAGGAACAGAATATCGGTCGATTCCTATATCTAACACACGATGTCGCGTGGCTTTAAAGCGACCATTCATCATCCGTGAAAAAAGGTCACCGATGTTCATGACGAAACTATTTTCACGTGGCGCTACCGGTATCCAATTTCCATCTGGACCAACAACTTCTAGTCCTTCATAATTGAAAAGACAAAGAAGTGTAAGAAAATTACTGTCAGAATGGTCGGGTGTTGTGAGAATCTTACCATCTTCGATACGCGCATTTTTCGGTGGCGGTCCGTCCCATGGCGGGTAGTGCATCATGCGGAAAGTACTGCACGGATTCTCCTGAAAAAGATGAATAAAAGCTGTTTCTTCCACGCCAAGTCCGTTTGCAGTGAGACGCAAAATTTCCATGGCTGCTGAATGCACTACTTCGTATTGAGCCTGCATAAATTCCTTGAATGGAAATGTTCCATCTTCTTCAGGCCACGGAGTGCGTTCATAGAACCAGTTTTCCGGATTTATGGATTTATTGTCTATAGAAACGTCACGTCCAAATTCAAAGCCTTCCTTTCTACTTGGTTCACCTTCGACAACTGGAAAGTACCCTCTATAAATATTTTTACTGTCCGGATTCCAGAAGTTTCGCATTATTTTTCGTTTCTTTTCTATTGGCTGGTTGAAGAACCACTTACAACACCGAAACATTTTCTCAAAATCGATCCCTTCTACATTATCGATATAAAGAAAACCAACATTTTCAAGTGCTTCGATTATCTGTTTCGATAGTTCATCTCGATTAGTTTTGGATTTCGATAAATCGATAATTGGAAGTTGAAAAGTTGACATCTTTGATGATAATCTGTAATAAAAAAAAATCTGAAATAAATTAGTTTCCACAGTATCAGCCGAAACTCAACCACGTATGCAATACACGATTTTCACATTGGGGATTTTCCTCATTTAGTTAAGACCGGTAAACATCAATATATAAGCTCATTGATGCATGTCGATTCCACATCTCTTTTTTTTTCGTGTTGTGCAGCTGCTATATTTGCGCCATAAGAGTCATGATTTATATCAAATTTGAATAATGAGGTTGAAGAAAACAATGAATTTGATTATTTTATCATGTCTTCTGAAGACAGAATACTACAAAGAATGTCAAGCCTTTAAAACAAAATTACTAAAATACATATGCCTGGCCTATATCTAAATTCGAATTTTCATTAATTGTCTTTGAGTGATGGCATCGTGACTGTAATATTGTGGTCAGTTTTTGTTTTCTTTGAACACTGTTATTTCAGCATTATGACTGCATACATCCCAAAACTTCAAAGCATATTAATCTTTATTGCTATGAACATATGATGAGAAAACCGTTCGGAATTTATAGCTTGGTATATGGTACAGACAAATCAGCGCGGTTTTAGTAATTTTTTTTGTTTTTAATAACCGTCTGGAATATTTCAGGAGGTTCATAATTCTATTTCAGGATATTCCATAGGCGGATCCAGGGGGGCCTGGGCCCCCCCCCCCCCCCCTTTGTTGAAAAAATTTGGTTGATTATATAGGGAATCACTGAAGCATGACTGGAGCGGGGCCCCCTTAGGTCAGTCAGTGCCCCCCCCCTTACAAAAAGTTCTGGATCCGCCACTGTATTCTGAAATATTTCAGCACCTCCACAAATCGATTCCATATTCGAAAGGTAGTGAAAAGTGTCACTCGTGAAATAATCCTAAAATTCTGAATAGTGTTTTTGTTACAAGTATACACTGAACATGGAAATTAGAAAATGCACCACTTTGAAAACGTTTTTAAAACTGAAGACCTCAAATAATTCGAAATAAATTACTAAAATTGAAATATTAAATGGTGTATCGATTAATTGCTGACTCTCTGATGCCGTGTCTGAACAAGGTGTGAAGAACAAGTTTTGGATGAGATAGCACTTTACATCAATATTTTTGATATCGCTGCTTTTGTTTCAAATTGCAGATATTGAAGCTCATATATTATCGGCCAATAAATTGTCCGTACCGATAACAATCTAATCTACCTTTATCTCGTTCATGACGTAGTCATATTAAATTGTACAATGCAATTTTTTTCTCAATTTTTTTTCTCTCTAAATTAATATTGATAGGACAGAATTTCCTATACTGATGGTAATCATCAAAATTGCGTTCCTTACCAAATTGAAGTTTGACAAGTCTCATAAGTAAAAAGAAAAATCTGTTAGATAATCTTATACATAGGCACTTGTCTCTGAAAAAAAGTATTAAGATGTATTATGTATTTTTTTTTCAGACAAGTGCCTGTCATCTTGTACTGTAAATCTCAAGTATCACCAATTACAACCTGAATAAAATCAGATATACACTTTAGTTCGCAACTGAATTTGTTATTCTTGCGATGGATCTCTTATAGAAATAATTCCGTTCGAAGACTTTTTGCAATCAAATTTACTTCCATGTTCTTCTAGGGTCTTGTGTAAACTCGGAGTGATTTGAATAAAGGGGGGTCGAACTTCCAGATTCATTTTTTAAGAAAATGATGTGCCCTAAAACGCCATCTTTTTAAAGTGACCTTCTTCAACCTAGTTCAAACGCATCTGTGTATTATTCAAGTCTTTACCAACTGGTTGTGACTGTATATAGCAGTCAATGATGAGGCAAAAATAAGGTGAACATAAAGTTGACTTTTCGGATAGGCCTTTCATGTGTGTATAATATAAGGTGTTTTGGTTGTTTTACTAAAATTCTTTTGAGCATTTTGTCATGACAGATATGGGGGTGGGGGTGATAGAAATCAATAAACCCGTTTTATAACTCTTAATACAAGGACAAATAATTTATCACGAAGATTTGATAAATAAATAATGTTAGATTGCAAACACAAATAAAATCATGGCTTCATCATCGTTCTTATCGAAACTATTCTAGTGGGAAAATTCTTAAAAGAAGCTAACTGTTTGGCATTGCTTGCCTTTTAAAACAACGCCACTCATAAACAATAAAAGAGGGAGTTGTCTTTGTTTTTATATTAATTATTTACAGTAACAATTTCACACAATATTTATTGAAGGTCACTTTAGTGTGTATTACACAGAAAAAAAACAATGAATGACATTGAATTTAAAGGAAAAAATTTACCTCTATACAATGCGACTTGTATGTCCAAGGCCTCACACTGCAACTGTATAATAAAGTTATCAGTTATTGGGTTATATATATATATATATATACATATAAGTATACTCAGCAACAAAAGTTACACAACACGCGAGAGGTTACAAATATATACTATTTAAAAAAATAGGGAGCAACAATTGGAATTCCAGGTAAGAAAGAGGGTAGTGGGGTTTGGTATAAGGAATTACGTTGATTCATGTCCCGAAACATTTTTTTGTGAAAAAAAGACTGATTTTGTGCGAAATTTTAAAGTATAGTGTTACTGGACATTTCTGAAGCTTGGTGCTGTGATGTTCCCACACGGAAAAATCGGCAATTACCTCTTCTTTTTCAAAATAAAAGCAGCTTCTTGAAATTGATCGAAATATGACAGAAAGGTAGCTATTGTTTTATGTTAAAAAAACATTCTCCATGTTGATATCTTTAAGCTCAATCTACCATATCATGTGTACACGATAGGCCTATAAGACATTAAAGGGTCGGCATAAAGTCTGTATATAAATCATTATCAGATCAATTTAAGGTGTCATGAAGAATTCTTCTCGAATGTTTTTTGATTCGGTTGCTGTTTCAGTGACATATCCCAATTACCCATACTTTAACAGTAAATGAAATACAATGTATTTTTGCTTGACGAAGTATATGTAATTTTTGTAGAAAAGCGATGAGTACAAAAAAACATAGCTGAAAATATCGACTCCACAAGGGAATTTATTTTTACTAGTTTGTTTTTAATTACGGATATAGTGCTTACTTTTTGCTGTTAAGTATATTTATTTACTCCCATATATCATTGTATTCAAAGGCTGTTTAATTTTGTAACGGCGGAAACGGATAAGCCGTATAAAGATCATATTTAGTCCGATTACTTCTAATAGACTATGAATAAATTAACCCAAAATATGCAACCCAGTGGCGGATCCAGCCATTTATAAAAAGGGGGGTCCTAACCCAGGATAAAAAGGGGGGGTTCCAACTATATGTCCCCATTCAAATGCATTGATCGTCAAATCACTTTGTTGAAAACTGTTTGAGAAATCAGTGGCTTGCAACGCTCTTAGGGTCAATGCAGTAGTAGTAATAAAGGGATTTTTTTTTCGGAACAGGCACATAAAGAATGAGGCGGTATTTAAAAGCATATTTGTGAGCGCTCAACTCACCTTACATTGGACAGTGAAATCATGCTCGATTTTCATAACTTTTACAAAAGCTATTGAATTCTTTGATCAAATTTTCTAAAACTTGTATGGAATAGTTTTCGATTTTGAAATTATTTCAGTTTGTCTTTCCAGAGCTACTGGCGGGACTGTATCCATCGGTATCAGGTCCGTTCGCGCCCAATACACGTTCCCCCCCTAGGTCCATTCGCACCTAATTTTTATTCAAATTTAAGTTGAATTATTAGATATTTTTTATATGTATATACTCCAAAAAAATATATTTTCCTAAATAAAATTGGGGAATTATTATATGAAATTTTTTTTTTTTTAATCAATTTGATGATTAATTATTAAATGTTAATTATGTACAAATGTAAGATTTATTCAGCACCAAAAAAAACGTTGTGAGAATCTCACTTTATTTTTAAACAATGAAAACAAAAATTTATAGCTATACACTGACCAAAACATGATTAAGATTTATTCAACGCAAAAATAAACGTTGTCAGAATCTCACTTTATTTTGAAACAATGAAAATTTTGGTTCTAGCAATGCACTAACCAAAACATGATTAAGATTTATTCATCACAAAAAAAAAAAACGTCAGAATCTCATTTTGTTTTGAAACAATGAAAAAAAAATATTTACAGCAATACACTTACCAAAACTCGATTACAAAATTATTTAACACAAAACCAATAAAAAGGGTGCTAACGTGTAGGGTGCGAAAGGACTTTGGGTGCGAAAGGGTGGACCTTATATCCTATGGAGGCTTCTCAGATTCCGGAATAAAATCCGTTATGTATTTTATATTTATTTTTCTCGTATGAACTCTTCTGTAAAGAAGATAATGTTGTTCTTACTTCCGATTATGAACTTCTGTAGATAATGTGGATTATAAATAAACAACTGTAACAATTAAGCACAGACTTGCTATGAGGGGTGGAAGGAATAATGGGAACCTGGGAATCTATCTTCAGCTATACTATTGATCTGCAGTGGAAATCCATAACGCAGATACTGCTGTGCTGGGAATGAGGGGTGGGAAGCGGGAGGTAGGGGAGTCCGGGTATATTTTTGTGCTCTTTTATAATAATGTAATTTTATGCACTTTCTCTAAACTTCATCTTTTGGCTGACCACCCTAGTGGAGGGAAGTGAAAATTAAAGACCCCCCATTCCTATACCACCATGTGTAATGCTTGAAATAGTGTAAGGGAGCTACCATAATTTTGATTTTTGGAAAATGACGCTATCAGCGGCATGTTTCCGATACCATTGACCAGAACTAACGGAAGTTGATTATGCCTCCGCCTACCGCACTCGGTTTCATATTTACTATTTTACATACTATTACTAACTGGAATCTGCTTGTATTACGCTACACTCGAACAAAGTGTTGTAGTCGGACGGAAACCAGTTTACATACGTTATTTTATTTACCAAAAAGATATCTTGACCTGTCCATATGTTTTTTGTTATTAAATGGTATTTGGAGCTATCCCTTTGTTATATTTTTCATATTTATTCGAGCTTTCACTTTTACGCACATGTCTTACAATCGTAAACAATCGGTATGTATACATGATAAATAGATCCGTTTTGTTATGGTGTTGGACTTTTTACCCTCCAATGATCAGCAATCGCTAGACAAAATAGTTCTCCTAAATAATGTCAGCCTTTCATGCCATTTCTACTTTACAATCATTAAAAAAGTAATAACCGGAATCATTTTGATATCCATTGGATAGAAACGGGTCTTTATCCAGATTTACGAAGATTTTAATAATCGGATATTAGTAATACGGTTATACCCACGCGGTGCGTATGAATCTTTGTTTACAAAGTTATAGCAGCAGAGTCTGTAACTGTCTCATTATTAATTAACCACACTGTTATTGTACTTAATATGATGAAAACTGCATATGCAATATAAGATGTCAACTCGGCCAATACAGATTTTTTTCCGTATTGGCCGAGTTCTGATCCGGCCAAAACAGGATTTCGGAACGTCTCTAGTTTTTAGATCGTAAGTCAGGATAAACTCAAACTGAAAGTAAACAGTTGTTGGTACGACGCAGTTTTTATTTACTCACCATAAACAAGCTGAAACGTTCAGTTTGGCATATATTTTAGGTTAAAGACTGTCCCATTCATTTAAAAGGCATTTTGAAAGTAGACGATGGAATTATTTCAGGTTTGGGGAACGAGTAAATTACCACAAAGTTCATTTCTTGACGACCTCATAATTTCATCATGTCGATGGTACAAATCGATTTTTACTGTTCACTTTCGCTTCTCATGTTTTGTAAACGGTCTTTTATTTTTAAACCCGAACCAGGCATATGCATTTTGTAATGCGCAAATCTTCGTTCTTTGGTCAATTGCCTTATGGATAGTTGTATCAATTTCAACTCTTACATTATTTTTTTAAAAATATATTTGCATTACACATGCAATGGCAGTACCTTTCCAATTACTATTTATGTGTTGTGTCTAAATTAAAGTTGTAACACTTTATAGTGACTGGAAAGGGTAGATAAATTCATCAGATGAGAACAGGCTGAAGATACATGGAAACGGCACCAAATCATTAGATATTGCATCTTATAAAAAGAAACTGAGATTTGGATAGTTCCACTTCAAGGTAAAAATGTTTATCTCTTGTGAAATGGAATAAAAAAATATTGTAACACTGTAGTTAACTAATAAAGATACTATTACATGTATTTCTGTATTGGCCTTATTGTTGGTCCTCGGCATGCAGTACACCAAGACATGACCCAATAACAAGGACAATACAGAAATACTTACGCAATAATATTATAGAATGACAGTATGGTTCAATAGCGGGAATCAGCCCCTCAATTACTTTTTACATAAATATTAACTTCTGGCTTCAACTCCTTGTTCGTCTTGTCTGGAGATCTTGTTGTAGTTCCAGTTAGGCAAGCATTTTAGAGACGTATCCCGTCCATCCTCTCTTGACTTGTAATTTCTGGTGATAGATTTTGCCGCATGACGTATCCTTTCAAGCTTGTTTTTTTTTTTTTGTTACCGTGTAGGGGTCCCATACTATGGCTCCATATTAAATTGTAAGATCCATTCCTAAAGGTCTAGATCATTGTTCTAACCTGACACAAATTTCAATAACTGGAATGCTACCCAAGTTGAATATATGGTGACCTACTAGAACAGCATTATCACTATTGAAATTGTGTTTAATACCATGATTGTTCAATGTCATTAACTTAAATGGAGACAGACATTTGACCCGAAAGGTGGTGTGGGAGTGCAAAATCAAAAGCTAACTAACTATGATATATGGTTAAAGAATGAATATCAATTACATGGGTCAACATGGTCAAGGGCAGAGTTGTTATGAAATAACAATATGGCAGAGGAGTGGTTTCAAGTTTCATATAAAGCGACCTGACTGACATGAAATAAAAAATCAAAGGAGTATCCCTATTTGTCTAATCTTCAAGGTGAAATAAAACTAGTAAAACAATATTATACTATTGTCTAAATCTACAGAAATATTTCTTGCTTCAAGTAACATAAATAACTAGGTCACTAGTAACTTATTTAATGAGTACATGTATGTGGGGTATAAGAGCTTGATAACAACAGGCTCTTCATAATCATTTGGTTTGAAAAGGATACTAGTAGTCTATATTCTTGATTTAGAAAAATGTAATTGCAAGACAAAAATCACATTACTTAGAATACTTTAGATCATTCAGGTAGTCTTTATTTATATGTACAAAAGAACAGCCAGTAGTCATTGGATATTGTAGATCATTCAAATAGTCTTGACCTATTTATTAGTACAAAAGAACAG